GTGTGTGTGTGTGTGTGTGTGTGTGTGTGTGTGCATGGATCAGGATGATGCATACACTAGTCTTAAATTGACAATCAATCGGTGTGAAACAAAGGAAGGAAAAAGGCGAAGAAACTTTTCGGGTTTTGTTTGATTTTAATCGCAGATTAAGGAGGAAATTTGATGCAATCATAAACTACCCTTCCATTCACCTCTCATCACCCATTTTTTAGCGACCAATTACCTTTACCCCTTCTTACTCCCCAACTAATAATCTTAAAAATGAAGATTTGTCAATTAATTTTATAACATCAAGAAAAAGAAGGAAGGAACGAATGAAAATGGTAATATAAGGATCAATAATCAGTAATGCTATAATTTTACAATACTTTAAAGAGAGAGAAAAAAGAAGATAAAAAAAACATTAATCAATATTAGTACCTTTTATATGAATGAAATTAAATATGATACTAAAAGATGCATTTTTTTCTTCTGTTTGTTTATTTTACAATTACTGTGAAATATATGATTAGTATTCAATCATCCATTTTCAATTATTTGACAAAATGATGAAATTTTTCATCGACTCTGTGGAAAAAATTAGACTATTTTAAATCAAACAAAAAATAACATAGACATTATGTTTGATCAATCGTATACTTTTTATTTTATAATATAAGCATATGCATATATATCATCAAATGCATTTTATACCCGGATGTCTGAGCTATGTAGTGGACAAGCTTTTTGTATAATATGCGCATGTCGTCAACCGGAGCCAAGCCGACACAATCTGTACGATTTTGTTTTCCCTACCTCTGCTAATCCCAACCCTCTGAAATTTCAAAAATGGAACCAGACCAATCATTTCGATGTGTGTATACACATATACATAGATTAAAGATTATCGTTATTACTGATCATAGGAATAATATATATGGAAACAAAAAAGAAATGAAGAAATTTTATATACTTATCGGTTTCGTAATTTATTTTGTTTTCCAAAATCTTTAAACGTTTTATATATTTTGGCTATAGACTGCCATCCCAGGTGCATTTTTAAGCATTTATGAAGAATTGAAGAATTGTAATTTTAAAAATAATATGCAAAAAATTCTCTTCCTCTACCATTCTCATTAGTCTTCCCTCATTTTGTTAACCCAAACTATCTCACCTTTCTAATCACAGTTTTGAAACTTTTCAAATATTTGATGCAAATGTAGAGTCAGCATTTCAATTATCGCAATTATACACACGCACATACAACATACACATATATAGACTCATAGCCAATAAGTATTTGTATATCCTTCTTTGTTCCACTACCTTTCCTCTACTGTTATCTTATCAGTGTCTCCTTTTCCTATCAATCAATTTCGTGAAACTTGGAAAAAAAGAAATACAAAAACCTCGTCCGTCTTCTTTTCTTAATGGAAAATTAAAAGATGAAATGCTTCCATCCTGCTTAAAAAAAATCACAATAGAACGAAAAATTCATTTTTAACATTATCAAAATTAAAAAAAAAAATAAATCCATATATTTAATATTAAAAAAGAAAAAATCCCCATTTTTTTCTTATTCTTCTTTCAGTTGTTGTTGTTGTAGAAAATTTGTTTAAGTCAACCCCACCAGGGGAGGTCTCGTGTCACCAGCAACATGTGGCAACGATTGGTACTACCGTCACAACGACATCTTTTCGATGCCCTTCAATTTTTCAATTTTTTAGCGCATTTCTCATCATAGCAGCTGCGGTAATCGGTAACAAAGGGAAACGTTTTCAGCAGAGACTATAAATATATATAAGTATCAGCAACTGTAAAAATTTGAAAATCGAATAATATTTAGCTATCTCATTGCTGAATTGCACGCATAACTACTGCTAATATCTTACTTTGCTAAATTTGAAAACTCTGCTTCCACAATATGGCCATTTATAAAATACGGGAAATATGGACAACGATAATTTGTCAAACAGTATAAGATAATCACCGATCGATATTGCACATGTCACCTAATTAACTAAACTAACTAACCAAAAAAGACTAGATAGTTCGACAATCAAAATTAAAATCTCATAAATTCATACATTGTATTTTGAGTTATACATTTTAAATTATACCCTAGTAACATGGAAAAATAATCAAATCGCTACGGTAAATTTCAGCACTCTTGCTGAAATTTCTAATTTTTTTTTCCTAACTTTAGAATTTTTCAGAATTTCAAACCACATTCATTATAATAGATTTTTCATACATCAATTTATTTATAGTTACCTGCTTCCAACGTCAGGCATTGCAACAACAGGCAACAGAAAAAAACAGAAATCAACTCCGAAAAGCTATAAGAAAAAAATAATATCGCCATTCATTTTCCCTTTATCTTCTATTTTTCTTTTTTTTATTATTATTACTTAGAGGAAAAAATATTAAATGACTAAAAGGGATATGAGCGAAAATCTTTTTTCAATCCTAAAAAACTGAAAATATCAAATTTTTATAAAAATGCTCGTGTGTGGCCTCTTCCTCATCCCTCACTTCGCAACAATTGTTATGTAAATGAGCATTTACATGTTACAGATTTCTTGTTGTTGTATCCATTGATACCTATCACCTTTTCGCATTCCGTCTCGTTACCTCTTCAAAAAGGGTCAAAAGAGTTAGTTGGCAGAAAAGTGAACTGTCTAAAAAAAGTAGGAAAAAAGTTGAAAAATTCTTTTCAGTCATTCCTCTAACCCGTTATTGGCTTTTGTTTGGACCTCACACAGTTCACAGTATGATATGTCATGATTGTACAACTATTTCATACTTCCAAATGACTATCTTTTATTTCCCGGATTGTTGTCTATCGAGGTGCAAATACCCTATTTCTAGAGTACTTTAGAAAACATTTTCCGACTTATTACTATGCAAATTACTTTGACTCAATACAAAGAAAAAAATTGTCATTTATTTTATACTTATACGACTATTATCACCACCATTACTATTATTGCCAGCTATACTAATACCCATAAGACTTTGATGTCCCTCAAACATTTTGAATAAATTACGTTAACAGTCCATAATATTCTTATAGTCGATGCCTTTCTTTGGTATCAAATTTTCATATATGTAATATGTACTACCGTTACCATCAGATGGTTCAACAATACATACATCCGTTTTAGACAATTTCCTTAATCCGCTTCATCAATCAGCGGACGATGAACGCTTTTGCTTATTCATTTCTAGCTAAAGGATATCCGTTATCATCAAAAATGTTAAAATATTCAAAAAAATGTCTCAAAAACGTAATAATCATTTCATTCCAACAAATCTTCCATCATTATCTTTCTTATTCCTCCACATATATGTAAATCAAGGGAAAAAAATCTTCGTCAAAATGAATGCTATCAAATATTATTAAATGAAAGTTTATGAAAACAAAAATAATTAGCAACGATAATATATGATAAGTTAATGCTTTTTAAAATTACATATGTGTGAATTTGTCTGTCTTTAATTTTAGCCATATTTTTTTTCTAGTATTGCTTCTTCCTTCACCTCTCTCAATCATCCTCCTTCTCCCACACCATTTTTATTGCAAACAATGGTACCAGGGTACCAAGGCTGGTGGCAAGCAAACAACCCCAACACCTTTCTAATGAAAAATTCACCGGAACAAAAATGTGGGATAAGGGTGAACAGGGTGGAACGAGGCATAGACTAGGAAGGGAACAAGGGAAGCAAGAGAAGACGATGAAAAGGGCAAACGTAACTCATCCTCTCTCCTGTTTTTTCAACCATTTCTTTCATTTCTTTTTTTAAGGAAGCTGAAAGGTTTACCTCCTCTGCTCCTCCTTTAACCAACAAATCACAACAACGGAAAGGAATAAGAAGGACGGGAATAGGAAAAGAGAGGAGGAGAGGTGAAGGAATTAATGAGTTAAAGCGATTTCGAACAAGTCACGAAAAGGTTCGGTTCTTGGGAACGGTAACCTACTACTACCTCTACTACCCGCAGATGCCCTACGACCGAATAATTACCATTTAAAAAAAAATGCAATGAAGCGTGCGAACTAATTCGAACAACGGACAACAACTTCAAGGAATGGGGAACACTTACTGCATAATACTATTGTCATCCTCATCTTTTGCATATTTCATTCAAACATTCCAATCGGCAAGTTTGATAGTAAAGAAGGATAAAATCTAGAAGTTTTGTATTCTAACGGTAATCAATTCATACGATAGTTGAAAAAAAGACATATTCCAAGGAATAAAGTAGATTTGACTAAAAAATAAGGCATAAATTGAGAAAATCTCTTTCAGATACATTTGATATTGAATATATTTATTCGTTAAGAGAAATAAGGTTGTAGCAATTTCCAATTTTAAGATTTCTGTCTCCTTTATTGTTGCTTCATCTATTTACTTCATCATCTACTTCTTTCGACTCAATCATTTTTCCTGTGATACCCCTAGAAATTAATCCCAAAAAAAGCAGTTTTGCTCTTCTGCATGAAGTTGGATTTCCTTCCTGAAGTTATGAACTTCTCCAGCCCTAATAACTAAAGTATGTGAAAAAGTTCTATCTCTTTCAGATTCCAGTGTTTTTCTGTGATTCGCACGGCATATCGCCTATTTTCCAATCAGTTACGAAAGAGATATGTTCAAACAACGAAAAGATAACAGACTGCAAATTTCGTGTTATATACGTTGCAAATTGCAATTCATACAGAATTTAGGGGACGAAATTTATACGCTTTTTAAGCCAAAACTATCAATGATTACACGGAAGGAATAGTTATCTGTGTCCATAGAATGAAACATAAAAGTAAACTTACCCATTTGTATCCGATGTGCTGCAATACGGCTATCTTCGGATAACGGATGTAGAGCACTGTACCGGGCTGCAACCTGATCGAGAAAATCGAGTGCTGTCGATGTTGAAACATCCCAATTTAACTTATTTAACACCAGCAATTCTCCTTGCTAAAGTAAATTTTACGCTTAGAACTCAACAACTCTCTTCGAGAGAAATTTTCCTAATTTTAAATCCTCTTAAAGTTATCCCATTTTACCACGAAGAATATTTTTTCAACAAAACTAATTTTAAGGCTAAAGAAGCGAAAAGAGAAAAATATGAGGAAAAAATGAACATTTTAAATGATTACCAAAATTTGATCCATTCGTACTGCACCATCCGTATAATAAGCAATCCTTTCAGCATTCAATGGTTGTGGTGCTTTCACTTTACTTGATACAAATAAACATGCACCGGCTAATGCTTGCAAATTGTTACGATGAAAAGACTGAACACTTAGAAA